TATATATAATCTCCACACTCACTCACACATGAATGATGAGAAGAAGGAAATTAAATTCTATGAGTTCTCCTTCAAGGTGATCAAAAATGTCTATGCTAAATCCAAATCTTATGAAGATGGAAGTGTATTGCTAAATTATTTTCAGGGGGCAAGCTATATTAATACTTTCTTTCTTTTGTCCATTGTTTGAGTGAAGGAGTGGTACACACGGAATTTGCAAGTTAGCAATAAATTTGAGAGGGAACTGTGCAAGGAGGCAGAGAATGTGGAGATACTTTGGCAAAATACAAAAGTTTGATTTTCAAGCAATAGTTTAAGAGGGTAAACACTGGGGTTTCCCCAACACTGTGCTTGATTATAATTGATACTTTTCTAGTTATTAAAATCAGCTTCCAAATAGTGGTAATTTTCAATCTGAGCAAATTAAGAGCAATTTTGGGAGTTCCTATGCCTGTGAGAACTGTTACGTGTTAGACAGCATAAGTTACTCTGGTTAAAAGCCATTGGAAAGCAGTAAGAATAGCTTTCCCAGTTAAATTATTAGTGAGATCATTGTTGTAACATCCCCCCACAACATTTGTCTAACACTTCTTCATTTACCAAATATGTTCATATTAATCATGTCATCTGATCCTGCCTGTAATTCTATGAGGATATGTCTAAGTTGCAGGCAAAGAAATTGAGGCTCAGAGGAGCACACAGTACATACACTTACATAAAAAAACGGATTTTTAAGGTAGGTCTGTCTGACTCTAAAGGCAAGGCCTTTTATGCATCAAAAATTCTTGTATCTTGTGAGCATTTCTTGAAGTTCATTACCCTAAACTCTAATTCCTAGCACAGTATCTTGTACACAGCATATACCCAATAAATATCATAGGAATGAAATTGAAATGAAAACCAGTCACAGCTTATATCAGCTTGTCTTCATTGTGTTGCTGAAGCCCACTTATATCTGAGCATTCTACACAATAAACCGATTTGGAACTTACTATACCACTCTTCCCAATAAATTAATTTACAGCCTTAAGTCTAAATGATATCATCTGTTTTACAGAAGCCTGTCCTTTTGAAAAGGAGGTCACTGTACTCATGTCACAAGACTTGTTTATAATAAAAGATACTGAAATAAGATTCAGAATCAAATGTTATGAGGACTTTTATTACCATTAAATTTTACTTACATCAAAATAGGCTTGTAATTTGTACCAGAGATGGCAAGCCAAGGAGTTCTCTACCTGAGAGCTCTCATCTCTTACACAGAACTCACAGAAAGATAATATTGGAGAGTTGAGTGTATCAGAACCTTATCTTGGACTTGGAACATTTATATGGAGAAAACTTTTCATTTTTGGTACTTCTGTCACATTTTCTGACTTTTCTTCTGTGCTGCCCACTTTAGACCTGTGTCTTCCTGTCCCCAACTGAAGTCTACAATTGTAGAATTTTTTATAATAAGCAAGCAAAAACAAGGTTAATTTTTTTTTCAGATATTTCAGTCTCATTTGAAGTAGCTACCAGAAAAGCCACTCACAGGGGCTGTGATGGTTTTGAGAATTATACATTATTTAAGGTATTTCTGTTAATTTCAACTCAACCCTGGGTCAATTTGCTTGACATACATTGGCCTGTTTATATAATACTACTGGTCTGCGAGGAGGAGATGATATACCTATGTGCATAGGGACACACATATGGCCTTGCTCCAGAGTTATAAAACAAATTGGTGTCTTCAAATGTGCATATAAGCAGACAAGGTATTGAACACCTCACAGAAAGCCAGAGATGGACAATTGCTCTAAATTAGTCTTAAGAGGAGAGGGGAGAGGGCTAGATTCCACCCACTTGGATTTTCTAAGCTGATAATGAATAATCAGGTATGAGGCTATAGTTTTGGGCGTGCAAATAGGCTTGCCTTTTTGTGAGTTCCATCTCTAAATCAAAGTAGACTAATGAGTTTGCTTTTCTCATGTAAAATTAATCTTCTAGGAAGCAGCAGGCGGCAAGGAGGACCCTGGTATTGGGCAGATATAAACGTGAAGGGATGAGGAATTCAGAAAGGGGAAGCATAAGTGTACATCAACTAGTGTTAAACCATTCTGGAATGGTCACAATGCTCACAGTTGCCGCAGGCTTGGGGGACAAACAGCCTTATGACAGAGGTTCACCCTTGAAAGAGCTGTACCAAGCTACTGCACTACTGAAAAATGGATTTTGGAAATGATCGATAGATTTGTAAAACAAACAGAAAAAGGAAATGATAAAAGGGCTGCTCACCCTTGGGATATGTGTGATAAGAAATTGGCTCTGTTTGGCAGCTTAGTCACATGTTTCTAACAGAAGCAGCTTCTCATTCCAGGTTCCTGGCTCTACAACATAGACAGCAGTTTGCTGAGGGATATTCCTAGGTGTTCAGAGCCAGCCTGTGCCTGGGTCATCCTGCACCTGTGACTGTTCCAGATTTCTTAGTTCCCTCATCCTGGCTACCAGCAAACAGCATCAGGCCAATGCAATTATGCTCCTGGGAGAACCTTGCCTAGTAAAATCCAGCATCAATCATCCTCTGTTGGTTCCTGATCCCTGCTTCACACCTCCTACTCCTGTGTTGAGCCCCAGGGTCATGGGTGGTATGATTAAGGATATAGGCACCAGCTGAGTGATGGCTTTAATGGATATGAAAAAATTCAGCCTGCACTTGGAGCATGATTGTTCTCCTTGTAAATATCAATGGGGAAAATATGGCTTGCAGAGATAACTAAAGAATAGAGGTAGAAAAGGCAGGAGAGGGACAAGGAGAAAGAGGAAGAAATATATCATACCTCCCAGAGTCATTCCTGCTTCATAGCATTTCCGGAGACGACAAGATGGACAATTTTTCCTTCTGAATTTATCAATGGTGCAGTCATTTCTGCTGGCACACAAGTACTTCTGTTTTCCTGGGAAAATAAGTACAAGAATAGATGACCTGTTAACAAAACATACCGAGTGTTTCTAGGCAAAAAATGGTGTGATGATATATACTACCAGACAAGAGAAGTAGACAGACAATGGTCCTAAACACTTGATCACACACACTTGAACTACTAAAGCTAGATGGTTTAGCTCAGTGCTGTATTGTTTGGTTCTTATAGGTATTTTCCAAAGGTAAACAATTCAGGCTCTGCTGATAACTCCATTATTAGGACTATTCACTGGTTTTTATAACAAGAGCTTGTATCTTTACTAAAAGCCAGCAATGCTTGTGAGAAAATGATCGGCTGCGGAAATTGATTCCCCTTTAGTATTGTACAGCAGAGAGTTGGGCTCATCCAGTGTATCTGTCTGCTGACACTTGCAATCAGGCATGGAACCATACTTGAGTTAATAAGATGTGTCTTTTCCAGATCACTAGTGTCTTAGTTACTTTTCCTGTTGCTGAGACAAAATATCTGACACCCAAATTTGAGGAAAGGTTTACTTGGATCACAGTTCATAGATTAAATCCATAGCTGGCTAGCTCCAAGGCAGGGCAGCATGGCAGAGGGGAATCACAGAGGAGAAATAGTTCATGGTAAAGGAGGGCAGGCAAGCAACAAGCGATGATAGTAGCTTTTTTCTGCCCCTTTTATATGCTATCTAGGCTACCCTGATTAGGGTGGGCGCCAACCAATCAGTGGGCTAATTAATAATCACAGGTGCTTAATCCCAACATCACACATTCTCATCCAGGCACCTTTGAAAAAGCCCCACCTATGACTGTACCAGGCATTTCAGGGACAGCTAGCCACAACCCATAACAGCCAGTAGTGATAAAACTTCAGTAAGAGAATTTCCTGGGATTCCTAGTGATTTTTAAATTGCTAGTGACCATAAGCCCAAACCTGCATTTTATAAAAGAGATAAAGCAGAGATAAATCCCATTTTGTATGGTCAGTCACAGCAAACAAAAGGAAGTCCTCTGAGGCTAGCATAGTAACGAAGATCACTATCGTGTGTGTATACCTGAAGTCACCACAGATACACAGAGTAACATACATGCAAACCCATGAAAATGGGCACAAAATACTGAAATCTACACACCCACAGCAAGCTTCTAAAGCCTGTACAAAATCTGAAAATGTCTTCAAGAAAGACATGGGGTAGGTGATTAAAGTTTGAAGGCAAAGCATTCTAAGTGACTCAAGGATCTTTGTTCTTTGTCTATAAAGTATGTGGCCCTGTGAGTATCTTCTGTATATTCAGTTGGCAGAAAAGTGAGAAGGATCTGGGCCAGCTCCAAGGTGGTTCTAGAAGAATCCTATGCTATACAGCAGATGACTAAATGATTAACTCAGAAAAATAAACTGTTGTCCCAAACCCTTTCATCTCAGAATACAACCATTAAACTCTGCTCTTTGGCACTGTTGACTTTCAATGGCAAAATTTAATCAACAGCCTATAATCAAGGTCTCACAAAACTTTATTGTGAAATGACTGATGAAATATAAAATTCCTCTCTCATACTGAAGCAGATAAAATCATGTCCTAGAGCTGCAAACAGACCACTTATTTAGATGCTTTAAAACTGTCTCATTGTAACTACAAACTCTTGACTACTGCGAATGGTCACATAATGGCTGGCATGAAATACTCTACAGGTCAGCAGGTTCTGAAATTCTTGACTGCCTAATGGTATTCTGCATCTTTCTCCATGATCTTATTTCATCATAAATCTTAGGTATAATTCAAAGCTCCACCAGGAACTAATGCTGTGAGACACTTTTCAGAATTTTCCCCATTTTCTGTTGTCTTGTGTCATAGTCATAGTGCTCCCTGCAATATGAGTTAAGGTCTGATTAAAATTCTTTCAATCTAATCATTTTAGAAAATGCCATTTGGAGTAGAAGAAGTAAGGTAGGGGAGTTAATTAGTATCATCATATTATGCAAGTAAAGAAAGGGTTGAGTCATTATCTTCATTATTAACCGCAAGGAGACTGAAGAATGTAGAATTTGTCACACTTTATAGAGTAAGGATTAATGTAGGACCTCTGTAAAAATATTTAAAACCATTTCTTTGGGGTATGTAAGGGAAGACTTGAATTAAATGGTAAAATGCACCATGTTCCTGGATGAGAAGATACAATATTGCAAGGATTTTAGTTCTCCCCAAATGACATTGATACATTTAAAAAAACATAAACAAAATCTAGACAAAATAATCCCAAATATATCTGGATGAATAAAATGTATGATAATGCCAAGATATTTCTGGAAAAGAAGGACAGTAAAACTTTCCTTACCAAGCATTTAAAGTATTATTAAGCTGTAACGATTATATTTATGTCATAATGTCTCCAGTATAGGTCAACTGGTGGAAGATACCAGAAAAGCCAAAAACAGACAGAGCATATGCAACACATCATTCCAATTCAGTGAAGAAAGGATAAATTATTCACTAAATGGTGTCAGAATCACTGGTTAAACATTTGGTAATCTGTAGTTGAATTACTAGTTAATCTAATTTGCAGATGGATTATGTCAATGCAAAAAAACCCAAGAAGATATCATGGAGGTACTATTACAAAATATACAATAAAATTATAACTTTTTGAAGGCAGATAAAGGGTTTTTAAGGCATGATAATGAAGAGGACATAAATGAATGTTTTGACAGATTTCACTAGAAAATATTTCAAATTTAGTATGTTAAATAAAAATCATAATAAAATTTAAAGACAAACCACAAACTAGGAAAAATTATTGGTATGAAGTATTTAAAATCAATGATTAATGTTCTTGGTATATGAAGATCATATGACAGAACAATGGGAAAGAGATATAGCATCCAACTAGAAAACAAATAGAAGAAATAGAAATGACAAATATAAAAATTGTTCAATTTCCCCTAGAAATCATATAAATATAAATTAAATGTTGTTTTATTTTTGAAACTGGTAAAGATGAAATGCTAAATGTTGGTGAAGAGGTATTGCTGGTGGGAATATTCATTTTGAGACAGTAATTTTTCTATATATTTCAAGAAAATTAAAGATATGTAAAACTTTTATAGGAATGTTTTATAAGTAATATGATAAAAAAGTAGCTCACTGTAGAATTACTTACATAGAAAATTGGAGTCATTTACATGGTTAACATTAGGGAATAATTAAATTATTCCTTATTCTGGCAAGGGAGCATGGCAGTTACTGATGATGAATTCAATGCCTTTTTTTTTGTAGTTTAGAAATATGTTCACAATAATTACCCAATAGTATATTTGATTGGATCCAATTTTAATGTGTAAGGCCATATAACTCATCTAGCCAAGTTCTTAAAAATATTTTAATGAGAAATAACTGTACATATTTATGAGGCATTATGTAATGTTTTCATATACTATGAAAGAATAAATCAAGCGAATTAGTATATCTATCACTTTACTCAATTGTTTTTGTGGGGAGAATACTCAAAATCCACTCTTTTAGCTACTGTGAACTATAAAATACATTGTTATTAACTATGGTTACCATGTTGCACCGTAGATTATTAAAGCTTATCCATTCTGTCTAGCTAGAATTTCATATTCTTGGACAAACATATCACTCCTTACTCCATCAACTGTCCCTTAGTGCCTACTATTGTACTCTTTACTTCTATAAATGTGAACTATTTTCAGCTATGATATGGAAGGTGCCTAAGTGTTCATCATTGGATGAATGGAATAATACACAGCCTTCAATAGGAGGTTTTATCATTTATGATGCTGTGGAAGACCACTATGCTAGGCAAAACAGGCCAGAAATGCAAAGAAAAATACTGCACGATCTCAATTATATAAAAAAATCTCAAAACAGGGGCTGGGGATTTAGCTCAGTGGCAAAGCGCCTGCCTGGCAAGTGCAAGGTCGTGAGTTCAGTTCCCGGTACTGGAGAAAAACCAAAAAAATAAAAATAAATAAAAAAATAAATAAAAGAAAAAAAAATCTCAAAACAACTAATCAAGTTTTTTCATTCTTAGTAAATTCTCTTTACAAACAAAACATTGCATATAAGCCTTATAGATGAAACAGTTAAAATTAAACCTGATTTGTTGAAGAAGGCACAGGAAATTTAAAATGCTCCCACCAAAAGCCACTCTTTTTCTCCCTTCTCTGTGGGCAAAGCACTGCTTTATGCCTTACAGAAGCTCTGTAGGAGCCCTGTGCTTCATGGGATAGGCTAGAGACTTACTGATTTAGTCCATTTTCATACCATGTACTTCACAAATTTAGAAATTAATATTCAAAGAATATAGATACTTGCTTAAGGTCATACCATGTGTGCACATCAACACAGGGACAAGAACTTCAGTGTCCTCATTTCTAGTACTATTCTCATGTAAGATAATGAATGGAAGAATACCATACAAAGCATAAAGCATTTTATAGATTTGATCTATCATTATTATTATTTAAATAATAAACTCTTGCACACCACATCAGGCAAGAATCTCTACAGAGATCATATATTCCATCTCTCTCATTTTATAGATGGGGAGACCGCTATCCAGAAAGCAGAACAGATGTGTAAGATTGTACCAAGCATATAGCCCAGTTTGAATCCACACAGCCATGTTTTCTACTTGACAACCATAACTAAGTATTTTACTTGCCTCCTTCCCCTATATATCCTCAATCTACCCTCTGCTTCTTCCAAGTGACAAGGAGGAGTAATACTTGCCTGAGAAGAAAGATAGAGGAGAAACTGCTGTTTTTATTGGTACTCTTCAAGGTAGAGTACAGAGGTAACTACAGAGTTAGTTATAAGGTAACTACAGAGATGTTACCTTATTTGATTACTGCCTAAATACTTTTAGGTAGCTACTAACTGTATTGTAGAGATGCGACAAATTAAGACTCAGAGATGTTGGTGACTCACCTACTTTCACCAGCTAGTATGTGGCAGAAGCAGGGTTGGAAGCTAGGTCTGTATGATCCAT